CAAAAATGAATGGTTTTTATATTATTTTCTCAATTTCTTCTCTGGCAACTTGTCCCCGGTGTTGGTGTGTCACATTTATTTGACTTAAAGAAACAGTTTAGGACCGTGGTAGCGGTTTCCGTTGCTCTTTGTTCAGACATTTGTAGCCACTTGGGAAAAGCCACTGAAGACATAAGATACTAGAACGGGATCAAGCAGAGCTTCACTCAAAAAATACACAGCATAGTGTAGTATATGATGAAGAGGAATTATTTACCATATCACCACACCCAGGTCGGATTAGCACCAGGCCAATAGAATCAATAACTATAATAAGACCTGTCTGACAACATGAAGTAGGTTAAAAGATTTAAAAGAAACAGACGATGTCCAAATCAGAAACAAACCCATGAACAGATTGAAAACAAAGTTTTGTTGAAAGAGTTACAAAGATAGTGATAAATCTTTGAACCATTAGGTTTGTGTTTCTTAATATTCATATCAACAGTCAAACATGGTAATGGTAGTGAAACTGATGTTGACCTATAATGGAAATCCTGAAGGCGAATGTCTTTCCATCAGCTTGTGAGCTTTATTGAACTCAAGCATACTAATGCAGGTAGAAAATTAAATATACAAATGAACATTTTTGAGTAATCTAGTCAAACTCTGGATATACTTCCCTCTGTCATATTATGGCATGATCTTAAAAAGGTACAATAATAATAATAATAATAAGAAGAAGAATAATAATAATAATAATAATAATAATAATAATAAGGTACAAAAATCTGCATGTATTCAAAGAACAGTGCTGGTTTTTCTCTGGATTCAGTCAATGAGCCATTCTTCTCTGAGACAAATCCTTCACCTTATAAGTGTCTGGCTGAGTGTGCTGTGGCATGAGAAAAAACTTCCTAATATCATAAGTTGTAGTCGCTTGTAGTTAAGGCAGACATGTGTCATTATTATACTGCAGAAACAGTTAAAAAGAAGAGTTAACTTCACATGGAGCAGATGGCTGATGATGCCTTTACTGCCCTAGGAGACCATTTGGAAAACTTGATGCAATGGAAAACATGTACATCAGGGGTAATGTTGCACGTTTTACCATGACTAAGAGGAGAAATCTTAACAATGGGAGTGAGCCTGAGCTCCTGCTACGCCTGGGAGAGGGGGATCATGACAGAATGTGAGTGGAGTGCTGGGACAGATGGAAAGAAAATGCTGATGGCCAGATGTGTAGACTTTCATCGCTTTTCCTCAATCTGCTGCTGAGGGCATGTTTCTCTTTCTTCACGCACACCCTTACAAGCCTATTAATAACAATTGTGACATTAACTCTTGTAACAAATGGATGTGAGAATAAAGACGACAGGCTAATTAATAAATATGGAACTTTTAGGGGATGATAAATACTCAACAGGTAGTCAAAGCATGTGTGAAAACACAAACTCTACACACACTTCAAGGAGTAGTTCCCTAAAAACAACACCAACAAAAAAACAAGAAATACGCTCGAATGACAGCTGTGGCTTCTGCCTGCTGGGATGACACATCTGAAGATCTGCATAATTTTTCCATGTAACACCAGTTATCGTGTAGAAATGGTGCCTTTTGTCAAAGTCTAGCTCCTGGCTCATTCTGTTCTGGATCGAATTGCTCAGAAACTTTCCTCAGATGCATGGCCTCATATAGCATCAGTTGGCACTCAGGAGGCAGTCTTACACAAGGCAAGGCGGCCTTGCCAACTCACAGAGATGCACTCAGACATGCATGCATCTCATAATTAAAGAGGGAATGAAAACACGGTGATTAGGTAGGAGAAGGTATGTGGAGGTTACAGAACTATACAGTGCAGAGTCGTCTAATCTGCCCCTTCTGGGCTCGTATCAGTGCAAATTTAAATTCTTTGTTAGAGACGTTCCAATAGTCAGTCAGAAATCAACATCGGCTAATTTCCTGTTGATGAGCTCTGATTAGAGATCAGCAGGTACAGATTATAAATCATCTGTCAATGTTTCCTTTATTGTCCGTAAATTGTTGGAAAGTGACATATTAAAATTGTATTAGAGATAAATTAATCAATCGCCAGAGTCAAACAGCCAAGTTTTGACTTAATGTATGCGTTAATTTGACGCATACATCTTCTGTAATCTTGAATTTTCTTCAATTTGTGTGCCATTCAAAACTACTATATTTACCACAGAACATGAACCACATTTTTTCCTTCTTTATATAATTCCTAGAATTAATGACAGGAATCGGTAGATCAGATCTGAAAGAAACTGATATTGACATGGCAAAGCCTGGTTGGTTTCTCTCAGCCACAAAGAGATTTGACAATTTGATGTTCTGCGATGACCAAAGCGCCCACATCTAATAGATGAAAAGAGGTGATTTAACAACAAAACGCAACTGGATAAGTTAGTGCGGATGCAGCACGAAAAGGTTCTAACGTGACTGATCTGGAGTTGCTGTTATGTAATTCATGTAATTCAATGCAGCGCATCATAACAACACCCTGATGTCCTGTAATTTCTCCTGATTTCCCTCAAGATCCGAATGAAGAGTGGACTGGTGTATCAGATAAATCCACACCACTATGTAACGCCATACACAACAAACTGCGTTGCACTTTGTTATCTGACTGCTTTTAATCTGAACCAGCATTAACTTCATCAGTAACCCGATCTACAGCAGCTCGGCTGTTAGGTCAGACCGCACTGGCCAGCCTTCGCTTCTCTGGTGCCTAAGATGACCCTGTCGCCAGTATCACTTGGTTCTTCGCTGTCCCCTGTGTTATGATTCAAGTTTTTATCTACATCAATGTGCAAGAAGAAGTAATGCAGACGTACTTTGGTTATCTGAGGATGCAATGTCAAGTCTGATGTATGATCGGATAATTTTTTTCATTTCTTGCGTTTGTCTGTAAAGCCTGGGGAAGAAAACGAGTGCTGCTGGTTGAGTTTAAAACTGTAATGGTGTTTGTGTGGAGCATGTGATTTGTATGCGGCCATCTTGTTTTGTACGTGGCGGGTCGTATGAGTCCATGTGGCCTAGGCGCCAGAGGTGCATGTCACTTAAATACAATTAATTTTTCAGTCTAGAAGTGATGTTTTAATAATGTGATATAAAAATTCATTAGATTTAAGGAAGGTAGTCTATTGTACAGATGCTAACATTTCAATGGAGCCTGTCTACAAGTTATCATTAAGCAATTTTATTAAATGCCAATAAAACAGACATTAGAATGAATGACAGGGTTTCTGAGAGATTCTGTAAGTTAACTTTGAAACTTTTCAGAACTTTTGTGACATGTACTATTTATATTTAAGGATATCATTAATTATGAGAAACAGCTTACTCCTTTAATTGCTTAACTTACAAAACAGTCAAAACAAGTTAAATACTCAGCTACATATTGTTTTACTAACTAATGAAATTCCTTTTTTGAAGCCCAATCTAGTGTAACATACATGTCTACTGAGCTTATAACGACATACAGAGAACATTTCTACTGTGATTGCCAAAATATTTAGTTGTTTAAATTTTTTCCTTATTTAACAAAAAAAAGACCTTTGAATCCTAAAATATCATTTTAAAAGTTTGCTTTGGCAAATAAGACAGCACATAAAGGAACCACTAGAAAGGAATTTAAAAACTAATAAAATGCGCCGTTACAAAATGTCACTGGAAATATCCCAGAACTAAAATGAGACCAAAGAAACAAGCAATACATCAAAACAGTTCAATTATTTGCATCCAGATATTTAGTTCTCTTACATGTTTAACATGTGTTTAAATTTGCTGAATGAAACAAGTTCCTTTATGTTCTGGAGTTGATTACACAGATAAGCGGTAAGCAGGGAGAGAGGCAGCATCCAATAAACCAGCTTGATTTACTGCTAAAAATAGATGAACTATGAAGCAATAAATGAATAATCCATATTCAACATACTACTTGACCAAATTTAAGACCCAGTACTGGAAATCCGGAGGGACCGGAGACTTTTAGCCCCCTGGGTTCAATTCATTTTCAGCTCCACCTTTGAGAACTGGAGTTGTCAAAAAGTAGAGTTATTTAACCTATCTCAAATATGCAAATAAAATAGACATCAACTTGCAAAGAAAGAGGAAAGAACAGCATTATGATATGAGTGATAGGACCCAACAAATTGAAAGGACACAGACTGCTCAGTTTCATGTTCAAAGCATATGAAAGACTTAAAGAAAAAAATTAATTTCATCCAAAACAGCCAAACAGCCCAAATTTATGCAATTTGCAGCAAAACAACTTGTTAGGAAATTAAAAACAAGTCAGCAAAAGTCAATGGACTGGATGGAGCTAACAGATTTTTTAAAGCCCAGCAGAAACTGCAGTATTAGCTGATTTGTTCATATATGTATGAAGATTTGCCCTCATATTTTCCTTGAGGACTCTAATTCCTCTGCACTCATCAAAACCAACCCTGCAAATTAGGTTGTGTTTCAGTTTGGCATTGCCCAGACAGTGCTGCTGAGCGGTGCATAAACTGTTGACTTGAACTACCAAATAGACCCTGACAGGTATAGACTACAACCCCAGACAGTGGCTCTGCTGTCCAGGCATCTTCACAGCTGCTATCTTGTGAAAGGATTTTTTTTTTCTTCCCCTTTCTCTCTCCCCTTTGCGCCCTTCCCTGCAAACACACTGCCCTGGAGTGAACTGATTTCACTCTGCTTTGGCATTTCTTCTTCTTTTTTTTCCTATGGAGAAAGGAAGTCTGCCGTTTATTCTACAGACGCACTGGATGACTAAAAGGGAGCATGCTCGATCAAAAATTTATTCAGAGGCCCTGCAGAGCGATTGTCTCCACAAAAAAAAATAAAATAATAATAATAATAAATTAAAAAAAAAAACAACCAGGGATCTAAGCCGAAGATGTTTTATCCAGCCTGCATCCTCCCCTCCTCCCCCGATCAGGTCCTTCACACCGAGCATAAGAGGCGACCACACGGTCACAGCGCTGCTGTCTTACCGGCTGCTGTATGTGGCGAGACGTCCCCCTCCCCGGCGGAGGAAGATGCTGCCGCTGCCCGGGCTGCTGCTGCTGCTGCTGCCGCCGCTGCTGCTGCTGCTGCTGCTCTCCGCGCTGGAGGTACTCGCTGCCGGCGGCTCTGCTGCCCGCCACCCGGTCCCTCTTCTCTCGCACGCTGGAGCCTGCGTTTTCTCGCTCCTCGCCGGAGTCGAGGGAGCTGAAGTTCCACACGATGAGGGTCTGCACCAGCAGCACGGTGAGGGCTGCGATCAGGGCGGACCGAGACCGACGAGCCAGCTTGCGAGCACAGGCGCCGCCGACCATGTTCGCACGCCGCGCTGCAACAGAGCTGGAGGAGCGTCTGTGGCTCTGAGCGAGCAGGGGAGACGGGATGAGAAGAGTGGAAGTATTGAGGGAGGCAGAGGAGGAGGAGGAGGTGGTGTTAGTGGAGGGAGGCTGAGCTTTATGGTGGCGGTGGAGGCGAGGAGGAGCGTCGGGAAGGAGAGACTGGGGGGCCACCGTGTGGTGAAACCCGACAGAAGTGATGCTCCAGGCGCTCGGAGTCCACTTCCAGTTCAATCTCCGTGAGACGGAAATTAGTCCACGTTTTAATCTACCAAAAGGAGAATTTGGATAATATCGCATACGTCCAGGTAATTGCAAATATGGAAATGTTCACTTTGCGTTATTAGAAGGCAGAAAATTGCAGAATTACTGGGCCTGTAGGGCTTCTTGACAGACAAGTTAACTGATGTCAACAGAGGCATTGACTGTGGGGTCCCTGGCCTTATTATGTTGCCTTGGGCAGCTTTACTAATTCATATCAGTCAACTTTCTGCTGGGCTAAACTGCAAAAAATAGGTTTTTCCCCCCCAATAAACCTTCAGTCAGGTCAAAAGTATTTTCTTTCTTACAGCTTGCTTCTGTACTTGCATTTCTTCCACAAGATCATCAAGCAAAGGTAACCCGAGTAAAAAAAAAAAGCTGCTTAAAATGTTTTTTGCTCCTTTATAACTTCTGCCTGATGTTATTGGTGGAACTGTATGACTTATTGTCTGGTCCTGAAGAGCAATATCCAGTCATCAGTTTGACCGAAGTCTCAAGTGAACTGGGGTTATGCAGCAGGACAATGAAGCACACCAGCAATTCCTCCTTTAAATTCTTCAAAACAAAACAAAATAAATGAACATTTTTGGCTTGGCCGAGTCAGGCTCTGGACTTAAATCCAATTGGGATGCGGTGGCATTCCCTTAAACAGGCTTTGCATAGACAAGTGGGCCAAACCTCCTTCACAGCGATGCAAGAAAAGACTCATCGCCAGTTACTGCAAACACATTCTGGCCTTCGTTGCTGCCAATTACTTTTGAACATATGGGCAGCTTGGTTTGGATAACTTTTTTTCCCTCAATATAAGAAATCATAATTTTAGTCTGTAGCCTATGCTTGTCTTTTCTGAAATTAACATCTGTTTGATCATCTGGAACACTTAACGGTGACAAACAAAACAAAAAAACAGAAGACATCTGGTTAAGGGCAAATGCTGGTGGAACAAAAGCTTAACGTTGTCAAGTCATCAGTGAAGAAAGTAGGTTTTAAATAATGCTCATCACTTTGTTATGAGATGTTTCTTGTGCCCATTTATACTCATTCTGTAATAAATGTTTCACATTTGTTATCAGTAATGATTCACCAACATTAATGAGACTAAATCTGTTGTAAAATGGTAGTAATCTGCTTCAGACTTGGCTCCTCTCTGACTGGCTATTACCTCAAATATGGGAGGTACTTTGGATGGTCATCTTAAGTAGGTGAGATATTTCCTAAACAGGAGTGTTCCCTAACGCTGTCCCTAAGGGAACACTCCCCAGCACGTTTTGCGTTTTGGATGTTTCCAAAATCATTAAATGATTATTATGACCTCCCCCGGGATCCCAATCATGTTCTGCAGAGATCCATAAATGAACACCTCATTTTCATCGAGTGGCAGTCGGGAAACACCTAAAACATGCAAATCCAGGGTTGAAGACTGAATTCTGAATATGTTATGAATTCCAAAGATTTTTTCACTTGTTCCAGCAGACCAGTTTCACCAGTTGAGTTCTACATACCTGACGGTCAGTGATGTCTTTCTTTACATGCTCATAATTTTCTTATTTCTTTCACTGTTTCATCCTTGTTGGCTCATATATTACCTCCAGTGTTATTGTGCTGATTTAGTATGAGGTCAACTGCCTCTGCAGTGGTTTTTCTGCTTTCAGGTTTCAGCTAATCACCCTTCCCCTTTCCTTCTTGTCAGCTACATAAATAAGTTTATAATGAATGAAGAGCTTTTACAATTTTCTTGTTTTCAGTTTCACGTTGTTTCTTTTCTTCAATCAAGCAATCTGCATAAATTTCACATAAATAAAAGAGGCCGTTCTCCTGTGCAGAGTGCTTTGTTGATTTTCTTTACTACTATGTCCAATTTACACTGACATTGCTTAATGCAGGTATTTGACAGTGTGTCGGACATCTTCTTGAAAATAACTCTTTTTGAAAGGGAAAGCTTCAGAACTGCATTCATTTTCAGCACTTTTTATTGTTTAGGGAACAGATCCAGAATCTGGATTAATCAAAGACTTTGGTGTCATTGTCTTAATATAATTTATTTTTGATGCTGTTAGTTGTAATGCTTTGACGCTGGTTTGTTCTTTGTTTACCACTCCCAGCTCTCCATTCACTCTGACTTGCGCTCGCTTTTCGTTTTGTCATAGCACCTTGCAGAAATATTGGCACAAGTGAAAATGGAGAAAAGCCTTAAGGGAAATTTTAGAAAAAAAATATTAAAAATTAAAGTCTGGATTTAGGTCCTGCACTAAATGATTAAGTCTTAAAATAAATGAAGCTTTCAGTGCAGACAAAACAAAAATCATTTAAAAAAAAACCTTGGTTGTCAGTCATTGGTTTAAAACAAAACTGTCAGTATAACTGAACCAGCGCTGACAAATACAACCATCTTCAAAGTCTTCTTTTTCTTCACAAATTGGGCACATTTTCAGGTAAGTGGTTCCTACAAAGACTTCAGTCTTTGTGTCTTGCCCCCTTTCTTTTCTCGTGAAGCCGTTCATGGTTCTCAGGTTTGGCAATCATATAAACAGAGTCTCAGTATCTCCTGCAGCAGGCCCCTTTTTCTACACAGCAGGCGTTTTGACTTGTCATGGTAGGAAAGGCAAAGGTGTTACTAAATACATTAAGCCATCACTCACTGCAAGTCAAGTCTCTCAAAAAGTCTCTGCAGTAAGCCAACGTGAATGGCCAGCAGAGTGAAAAGCTGTCATTTTATGCCTCTTAAAGCAGGGACACACATAAGCTCAACATTGTGCATGCCACCTATGCTGTCTTATCAGAGAGTGACACTATTTGAAGACAATGTAAGGTCCTAAAGGATTGTGTTTTCTGGCCACCAAACCAGGTGTTTCTGTTCCCTAAAGCTAGCAATTTACAGCACCAGTTCATTCATCCATTGTCAATACGTGCTTATCTTGGCTGGGGGGCTTGTGTATTTCAAACGGTCATTGGGCGAGAGGCTGGGTGCGCCACAGAGAGGTCACCAGTCCATCAGAAAGGCACACAATGAGAACACACATACACAGGGAGAATATTCAAACTAGATGAAGAAAGACCTCAGGCCTGGATTAAAACTCAGCAGCCATGTACAACAACAAGACAATAACCAACATTTTTAGCTTAACTGAGCTTCTCTTCCACTTACCATTAACAATATATGTTGCCTTGTTGCAGTATTGACATTGTGTCAGGTCACATTCAAAGTCTGTGGGTAATACCTTGAAAACTCTCCATCCTTTTGGACTGAGCACTGGTACTTGTTCAGAAAGCAAAGGGATTTTGATTCTATACAATAAAGTCAAAAATAAGAAGGGAAGCCAAAGAGTTGTTCCATATGTTCTTCCAGGTTGAGCCTTTTTCAAGTTTCAAGCAGAAAATATTAATCAGAACTTGACATGTATGAACACTTTTGCATAGCCACTACAAGCATCGCCTGCCCTTTGTAACCCAAAACCATGATTGTTTGCCATAGTGCCTATCCTGTCTGTTTCCTCTGCATTACCACTGTCAAAAAAAGATCAGAGACTGAAAAGAATTTTTAAGCATTTCCACACTGTTAACATGCAGCATCTGCTCCCAATTTCAGCATGATTCACATTATGTCATTTTACTGCACTGCACACTATAATTTCCTTGGCTGAATGTACACGTGTTAGGCCTAGCAGGAAAATTTCCCCTCGGTTGAGGCTGCAGCTCACGCCAAGCTGACTGACAGCACCGCTGGTTCTGCGGTGGCTCACAATACAAGGAGCTTTCCTGCTTCAGTTCCTGTTACTTTTCACTCCACGGAGAATCCAGAAAGATGGAAAATCTCTCTAGTTTTCACTCCATATTTCTTGTCTTGTCAAGTGCACTGCGGTTGTCACCAGCATCACTTTAGGGGAATAAAAGTCAAACCAAGCTGCCTCATTCACACTCTATTTTAAAAATAATTTGAAAAAAAAAACCTAATAATTTAAAGCTTTTTTGTTAATGTTTTAAGAGATTTGTGTAACCCAAAAGTCAAAAGTATGTTTTTTATGTCTACAAAAAAAAAGTCTGATTTCAAATGATCCTACCGCTATCACTGTTTGATATCAAGCTTAATTTTTCCCAGGTGTCAGTGTGTTTTGTCAGGTTTTTGCATGTTGGACTCGTTGTGCAACTTTAAAGATTATTGGACCTTTAAAATCCCCTTTTTTTTCTCGCTGAAATTTAGTTGACAAACTCTCTTGATTAGTTTGCAGTTCGAATCAAGCAGCCGCGGACGACTTTTCCTCATTTTCTAATTTTGTTATTTTTGACAAAGTAAATACGTTTGCAGCCATTGCATACAAAACACAGTGACATCAGACATATGCTAAAAGCTAGGACACCCCTTTGCACGCATGTTTTTCTAGCACATTAAAACATATGCATGTATAAAATCCATTGTTCCCTTAATAACACATTCAAGCGACATGTCTAAACACTTAAAGACAAATGAAAATATATTTTAAACGGTCTGTAAAACGTAATTTAAATGCAAGCAATTCTTGTTGAGGAATATCGGAAACAAAGGAGTGTAAGCTTTCATAGGAGCGACACACTCTGGGCCCAGGTGTCTCAATCAATGTCATGATGGCCTCCTGACGCTCCAGCACAGATTGAAATCAGATAGATCTTATTGTCCAGAAGAAGAATGTGGCACTCCACATCTAGGTGTTTTTTTTTTTATTGGGTGAGATGGTTCTGTGTCCTTTATGTAAGCAATGCTAAAACGTATTGTACATCACAGGTTTGATTCACATCCTCAAATATGTGCTTCACTAA